TTAAGAGAGACACATACTAAGAAATCTCCATGCACATTCACCTGTATCTCCTTCAGAACTTTGGCCACTTCAATTTCTACAGCAACCTGAAGCAACTTCCTCAGAGGCACAGTACCATCCTCTTGCATCAAATGCTTAACTGTCTCAAAGTGCTTTAATTTCTTTTTTTAGGAAATATTAAGGCCTTTAGTTACTGTCTCAGTGTTTCCTCCCCTGCCCTATAACACAGTGAAGGTGCATTAACTACATAGAATGCCTCATCTCCTCACTGAAGGAAGAGGTGCCTGACTCCCAGTCCTTTCAAGGGTACAAGGTTTAATCCTCATGTAGATCCCTCCCACCTTCATCTTTTAAAACCTGAGATCTGCCACCTTGCAAAGGTTTGTAATTTCCTCTTTACATCTAAATCACCTAAAAACAAAAATAATAATGTACATGAAGGAAAAATCTTATTTACAGTGGGGTTTTTTAGATTAGTCGGATCAGAAATTAAATACCTGCTTAAACATCAGCTACAAACGTAGCTGATCAGGTGCTGCAAACCAGCTGAAGTAAATGCATTTCAATTATAAATTAATATTGGATGCTGCTCTCCAGAAAAAGCAGCTCAAGACAACTGAGAGTGAGCAGGGTTACAACTTTCCAAAATTAGCCTGACATGATCTAATTCAGCTTCAGTGGGAGTTAGAGTGGGCCACGTGCCCACAGCTACATGAGTCTAACTGCTGCCTCTCAAAAACAATAGTTAAATGAAAACTGTCTCATTACTACCATAATTAACCTGTCCCAGCCACATACATTAGTAATTACTTCTTTTTTTTTAATGGTAGCTTTTGTCAAAGTTTCCACACAATTGCATGAGCCCTTCAAGACAGACTTTTACATACCTATTTCATATATATAGCAAGAAGGCTGGCAAAGAGAGGCAAGAATGATACACTGGAAAGATAAACCTGTTATCAGTCAGAGTGAAGAAACTTCCTTGACTGCTTGAGGTGGTCTCTTTCTATCCACAACTCAGTGATGTTATTTAACAGAGGTTTCCCAAATCCTCTAAAAACTGTAGCCACCATTTACTGTTACAAGATGAAAACCCTATATAACATTCAACCACATGTATCAGTAACTGCTCAACTGTTGCTGCCAGGGATTTTTTTTCCACATATAACACAAATACCTGTCATAGAAAAAGGCATTCTTAACACTCAGTTGCTGCTACATTAATTTATTTGCAGCACCAGGAAGCAGCCTTGAGGGAAAAAATAATTTAAAATTACTCTTTCATCTCGATGTTATTTTAATGTGAATGTTTCATTACAGCAATATATCTATGACCAACAAGGCAGATCATTTAAGTCTTTAACTACTTAATTTCTATTTAACTGGCTATTATGAATGATTGAGGAACTAATAAATTTGTCTTCAAAACAGTCCCAGAATTTAGGAAGCATTCTGTAGTTGTAACAGGCAGATATTTAGCATGTCAAATTAAATATTTGACAAGGCCAATGAAGTAAACACATCTCAAAACACTGACCCAGGAAGCCATACCCTTTTTAGATAGGGTTAAGAGGTATATAAGTATACTGGCTGATGTTCAGATGGAAAATTTTTGGTCAATTTTTTGTGAAAATATAAGATGGAAGAACAGTGTATCTATCCATGAGTGATTTACCACAGAAGAAGAAAGTACATCTTTCTCCAAAAGTTCAAGTTAAAGATAGAGGATGAGTGGTTGTTTCTGAATGTTTGCATTTGAGTAGCTCCAAACTACACAGGCAAATGTTGAAATCAGAAACAGACACCATTCTATAACCACTACTTCTGGCATCAGGATACAGCTATCTTAATCTCTGCCTTTTTAATACCTCCAGACTCCGAGTTCTAGACTATCACCCATCCCACAGTATTTGCAAAATTCTAGCTGGAGGGATTAGCAACCAACAGCTACTCAAATCTGCCTGGATTATCTTTAAGATAGAAGAGATGAATATTATGACTACTCAGATGTATGATTGTTTTAAATTACCAGCTGTACATTAGGAAGCAGTAAGGATTAAATTTCAGACTTCTAGAACCTGTTTGTCCTCAATCTTATATTTCATTTTTATAAAAATTTTGCTACAAGACAGGTTGGATTACATGTATTTATACCCTAATCAAACATAAATTTAAAAAAAAAGCAAGCTGTTCTGTTCTACACAGATACAGTTGCAAGCTAAATGTTTTGACATTCTAAAAACAACATTGACATTATCTTAAATGTTACACTTAATTTTTCTAATTGCTATATGTTACAACAATGATAATTTGATATATCTAACGTATTAAGATCTTAACTTAATTTTGTCATCTTGAATCATTTATAGTCTAGCTGTATCTAACAGTATTCTGCTGTTTCCACAGATCTTTCATATGGCTGCAAGGAAACATCTTTAAAGAACAACTGCAATTTTCCTTAAAAATTAAGCTTTAAATTGATTAAGTTCATCAGCAAGGTCTTCAGGTTCCATTAGTTTTTAAACTACAGCTGAATTTCTACTTGTCAAGGAACCTTTTATTCTGTATGATTTTACAGGAAATGAGAAGAAAAAAATGTACAACTCCTTAGTTAACTGCTGGCTAAGTTCATAATTGTATGAATTCAGGCTTCACCTCTGGTACCTCAGTCACCTCCACTTCAAAATTTCCAGGATTATAAGTACAGTTCTAGGAGGTCTCATACCTTACTTTGGGCCATTCCAGAACTATTTTTCAAAAACATAGATGAAAAATAATGCTCTTACAGTTCACAGGCTATAGTGAAACCTTCTGCAGAAGATTTCCCATGTGACTGAGACTTGTTCAATTTAATAATTTAAAAGGTATGGTAACACAGATTGCCACAGCCTGTGCAGCTAACCTTGCTGATGCCCTTACAGCATCCTGTCAACTATAACAGAAAGGCTGGAAGAGTACCCAAGAAAGGTATCCAGTAGCTAATACAAAGCTTCCCAACAATTCTATAAAAACTCAACCTTGCCAAAGCAGGAATTCTATATTTAATGTGCCAAAATATAATCTTATAGCACCAAAACAGGTCCTGGAAGGAGCTGAGAGACCATGAGCACTCCACCACTCAGAATGTGGGTCAGTAACATTGCAGGGGTCTGTGTGTTGCAGCCTCCCTGCTTTTTCACCCCTGCAGCTTTCTCAAGTACCCTGTACCTCCAGAGTGCTACCAGAGTGCTGGAGTGCCAAGAGCAGCCCCATCTGTCAGATGCAGCAATGGTAGAGCTTCACAAATAAAACACCAGAGTGGCAAATGAGGCCATCCTTGCTGCTGGAATGGCCCATCTCCATCTCTTAACCCAGTCAAAGCAGACAGACAACTGTGCTCCGAAGCAACCTACTTTGCTTGTGCTTCTGCCTAAAGCCAAATTTGCCTATTATGAAAATGGAAGGTGACACAATAACACTGAACAGTTTGAGTCAGTAGAAATGTACACTGCAGCACTCAATTACAGCTGGGTGAGTTAAGGACTGTGTTACAGATTTAATCCATCTCCCCCCTACTTTGGAAGTCAAGATGGATCTTTTGGTATCAAAAATTCAATTTAAAATTATTTGAAGATCTTATCACTGAATTAATTCAGCTTGTAATTTTTAACCTTTGAGAAGAACAACCACAAGTAATTTTGTAAGAACCTGGTTTTCCTGTTCTGGGGGGACAGAAAGGGACAGGAATTACCTTTACACCTGGTTTTCCTCCTGTCTAATTTCCCTGCACAACAATAACTCCAATCACATTTGGGGAGCCCAATCTGATGACTCTTACCAAAGTCAAGCAGAGTTTGTTCTGCACTGCACAGTGACATTGATTCCAAATGGTGATTGTTTACTGGTTCTACAAACAGTACTGTCAACCAAAAGGCAGCATGTTTTACCGACTACCTTTACCCATTCATACTGTACACGCTTTCCAAGTTAAAGACTGCTGGTTTTTAGCATGCCAAACTAAACCCTCATTTTGATCCAACTTCCTTACAAATACCAGATCCATTTTTGAAAGCATCAGTGATAAGCATCAGCATCTTCACACTGAAGTTAATTCAAATACTATAATTCCTAAACACAAACTACACTTTTTGCATTCTACAGCTGTAAATGCTATCCAATTATGCACCTTCATTTCACAAAATACTTTCTACTGATAAGAAACTCTTGACATACAGAACAATTGTGCCTCCATTTCCATAACTAACTTTATTCAACTTCCCTTTCACAATTCTTATTTAGAAAAGGCTATGCAAATGTTTAGATTAGGCCACAAACTCAGCTTCTTTACAGGTTCTTAACTTTTGGAGCACAGTGAAACAGTGTGCCTGCTAATTATGATCTTGCTTCTGTCACACCAGGTTAAGGGGTCTGATCCCTTGATCTGGATTTTAGGCTGATTTTATAATAAATAACTGAAAAGAAATTACACTGTTCAAACTAGTATTCTTTGAACATTATGTCAAAGTTAGTCCTTACTACAGAAAAGCAAAAGAAAGAAGTCAAATTTCAGAGACTGTTGGAGAGAACTTCAACAGTCAGATACAAGACCCGTTCTACCACTCAAAACTACCTGTGATTCATGACTGAACACACAGGCCAAACCTTCCAAAGGTACCACAGTGTTAATGAAACCACTGGCCTCTTCTCCATAGAAGTCATGAAACTTCTGAATACCTCCACAGGCTTATGAGGTTGAGCATCCAAATATCAAAACACAAAAGATTAGAGACCATTTTGAAAAATATAACCTGTATTCAGCAGTTACCAATACAAGCAACCCTCTTGTAAGCATTTATCTTGTTCTTTGTGGAGGAATGTGGAATATGAATGTGACAAACTTCCTAAGGGAAAGCTCTGCTCTGTTTGCCATCTCTGTGACATTTTACAGTAGCACAAAAAGAAGGCTCTTTCCCTAAAATCTTTATACCATAAAATAACAGAAACACAAGCATCTGACTTACTGTAAGGTGTTGTATCAGTAGGGTCAGGAGGTGGGAAGTTTTCTGTGAAGTTGACATTACACAAGTCTGTACTACAGCAGCAGAAGCGGTATGTTCCATTCTGAATCAAGGAAGGGGTGGTTGTAACTATACACTCTTCAAAGTGACACTCCTGTGGGTCTCCTATATGAGACCAGCAACCTGCAAAAAGAAGCAAATTACTTTTTTTTTTCAAGTAAGCATAAAATTAGTTCTACTGACTGAATAAACACACCTACAGAAATCCATACATTACCTGATTAAACATTACAGAAAACAGTTATCATAATTTGCTTATCTGACTTTACTACCACCTTTTAAACCAAAACCTGAATAATTTCTTTTAGAACTCCTCATAGCCAAAGAGAAGAAAATGTGGGCAGGGATAAAGGCCAATGTCCAGCTATTGCCTTACTATGATAAACCTGAATTTCTGAGCCTTCTAAGCAGAAATATGCTATTCCTCACCTCTCTGACACCACAGACCATATCACCATTTTCTGGTCCAGAGACTAAATTAATTGTGACCTAGTCCCTTCCTTAGGCCACAAGACTGCATCTACAGCTTGGTGCTTCTTGTATAATTTTCAAAATTCTGCCTTTCCTTGTTGTCAGTATCACTGGACTTTTCTATAGGACCACAACTTATTGCCTGGTTCATACCAGGTCCTTTGTCCCTGCAGCAACTGTTCATTCCCAAGTATGGTCAACAGCAGCTAAATGTCATTTATCCACAAATACCTGGAAGGGAAAGAGGCAGCAGTGGGGCAGAGGTGAGCAGTCAGGCTGCACCCTTCAGCAGATTGCCAGACCAAACAAGAATCATGGACTACAACTCCACAGGCTATTTGTAAATATCAGCTGCATTTTCATTCAGCCTTATACTACATTAACTTGCATCCAAGTAAAAAAGAGCAGAATCCCTGAGAATCATAATCAAAACATGTCTCCAGAAACTGCAAGGCCCTCCACACATCCTGCCTTCATTCTCCCCACAGAAGAGTACTGAATTACAGTATTGACATGTGAACTATAGCTGAAATTTCCTTTGTAACATCATCCAATCAATATGAATATACACTTTATACTTAATAAGACACTTATTAAGACACATCAACACACATGAAATTCAAGAAAGACATCTTCCTCTGGACATTCTATGTAATGAGAAATTTGAACACTTCTTTCAACTGTACATTAATGTCTTTGGTCTCTTTTAGAAGTCATTCATTCCAAACAAACCTTCTGTTCACATTTTAAAAAGTTAAATGGGAAGTATAAAATTATGCATTTTGACAAAGTGCAAGAAGTGTAGTTTTGCAGCTGTGCAGCTTTGTATGAGCTGCCTAGATCACAAAGAAGTGAAATAAATAACAAAACTACTGCACTAAAATGGAACCGTTACATACCTTGTTTTACAAGATGTATGTCTCCTTCTCGTGTTTTTTCCCAAAGTCCATAGCAGGTACTACCTTTCATGCACAAAATCGTGCCATTCTCCTGGGAGATTCGGCTCTCACTGATTCCATGGTCCTGCTGATATGGGTCTTTAAATGCACACAGCCGCTCCTCACTCTGTGTAGCTTTAGCCAAAGAAAGAAAAATAATTTTTGTCAGTGATTCTGTGCATAAAATACTAACTTTAAAAAACAGATTATTAAGGTCTTCTGAAAAATGCATTAAAAAAATCTAGATGTGTAACTACGAGGCACTCAGATACTATTCAGAATTACAGCGCAGCAAACATCCAACCACAGTAAGAATGTGTAGTACATTTTTCAACAACTACATTTCATCCAGTTCTTTAACTCCCATCAAAGCATTGGCAGCAAAAAGATACAAGATGAAGTAGATTGGTCTTTTGGGTAAAACAAATTTTGAACTTAAAGTAAAATTATAGCATATGTAATTGTAAATTATTAAAGGTACTGTATAAAATATCTTCTCACAGATGGCTTATTTCTTTGATCATTCTTCAGCACTGGTCCCAAAGAAGCCATGTTTCAGCAAGGCAGACTTACTGCAAGAACACTACTTCACTGTGTCACCAGCTGGGATTATTGGGTAAGAAATACCAAGAGACTTGCATGTGTCTCTCTTTTAACGCTATTCATTAGGAGTCAAAATTCGTAATTCTTTTATGCTGAGACAACTATACATTGCTGCACTATTCAGGCCAGCATTCTGTCAGTGTTTCCCAGTTTATTGTGTGGCAGCAGTAATTAAAATAGCACAACTTAGCTGATTTTCCTACTGGTCTGGTAGAGCATGTGTGATCAGTTGAGCTGCGTGTCAGCTCAGTGGGGGCAAAACTCTCAGCTGAGGAGACAGAAACTTCTTAAGCCAGTGTAATTCAATCACTTGCAGCTCCTCACACCCCAAGAACCTGGCTGGCAGTCCATGCTGCACACCCACCTCTCTGAACTCTGGTCAGAAAGTCAGTCACCTACATTTCATACCCAATTTTTTTAAAATCTCTCTGAGCAGAGTTAGTCAAATTACGGAGTACAAAAAGGTCACACATGAACAGCCAGCACATGCTGCCTCCAGCAGAACTCGCCAGTTGCGCGCTGTAGTTTTATTCTCAGAACAGCTGAGTATGCCAGGCGTGAAGCATCTGTCCTGCATTCTCTGCTCCATGACACAGGACTGGCCAAGAAACAACGTAAGAAAGGACAGGACCCCACTGCCGTAAGGGAACTAGATCTGACTCACTTTTGGAAAAGTCAGAGAAGAAAAAACTATCACAGAATTACAATGTTCAAGACACAATGGGACAAAAGTATACAGCCTTGTGAAATAGGACCCATCTGCTCTGAGGGACAGTAGAAAGATTTTAAAACCTCTGGTATTTGATAGCTGAGTGGGGCTGAGGCCATCCAAGATCTGGTTGTTTACAAAATGCTCAAACTGCTGCAAAATAAGCCCTTTCATAACTATCCTTTGTGAAAATTGATTTAAAAGAACAGAATTTATGAAACAACCACACAAATCTAGTTTCTCTTTCTAAAAAGAAAAGTAATTCCAGTAAAGTACAATTTAATAATACCTCAGTATGTTAAAAAATAATCTTTGAACCTGTGAAATAATAGAAGAAGAAAAAATACCAAAACAAACCAAAATCTTTTGAGTTTGCCCTGGACTCAGCCAAAAAATAATGACATATATCACGTCTGTGCACCACTGACTAAGACAGTTTAATTGCTTACTTTTCAGTTCTCTTAATCTTTCTCGAAAACTCATAGGATCAAGGTTGAGAGGTAAGAATATGAGAAAATACTCAAAATAAGAGAAGCTGTTAAGAGTCATGCTAGATACTGTCCAACCATACATGTACTACAGAAAATAAAAGTAACTACTAAAGGCTTTTCTGATTTAAAAAGGCTGCATTGCCCTATAAGAATGCCTGCAGAGAGGATGGGCAAGCATGAGAAAACACAACACAGAGCTAGCAACCTGAGTGTCTATCAATTTTCTTGCAAAGTAATAAAAATACGAGTTAACTTGACACAATTTAATGTCAGATGATCTCAGTGGGAAACTTTCCCAACAAAAAAAAATAAAGGTTACTCATCCAACAACTCGAGTTTTCATGCTGATCACTGCACATTCCTGCTTCGATTATAACTCGGAGAAGCACGGCCCCTGTGGGAGCAGTACCCAGTGCAATACTCTGCTGACCCCTGCCCCTTCCCTGATGGCATGGAACATCTGGAGAACAGGGGACATGGAACAAAAGCTACTTTATTTTTCTCTATGGCCTCTGTATGTTCATTGTTGAAGATGTAATGCCGAAGAAAATTGGGTAGGGCAGAAACCATCTTGCAGAACAACAGAATAGATGAGCTGCTTCAGTTACTGCTCGTGATTTCAATACATTCCTGCTCTGGGATTTCTTTCTTCCAGGCAGTGGAAACCAGTCAGATTTTAAAACTTATAGGACTGGAATACTTCTAGGTCAGGTCCTGAAAGCAGCCTCTAGCCTAGGTGAGTATGCTTGTATGCCTTAAACCTTGCTCAAAAGAAGTACTAAAAAATATGACGACAAAAACCACACAAAAGTGCTGGAGTGCCTCTTTAAAAACTGCAATATTTCAACAGAAATCTTACTTTTCAAGGTAAAAACTGTTGCCCATTTGGATTTCCACATGGATGGCATTGTTTGTCAGTTTGCAGTAGATGTGCAGGGTGCATTCAGAGCTGAAACACACCTCCCTGTCCCTTGGGAGCTGTGCACCTGCAATGCTTAGGGCAGCCACTAACACACTCTAGCAGCTTAGCTAAAAACAATTCCAAAGCTGCTTCTCCATGCTTGGAGATATTTGAAAACTGCCTAGATATGGTCCCAGGCAGCTGGCTGTAGGTGACCCTGCCTCAGCAAGGAGCTTGACCAGATGACCTTCAGAGGTTCCCCTCAACCTCAACCATTCTGCAATTCTTGCATGTCTCGAATGTGCAGCAAACACAACACAAAAATTATTTCTCAGCTGGGCTACTTGCTCTCTCTTGTCTCCAAGGCAGGCAAGGTGGTAGGGTAAGACTAGAACTACTGGATTCTCTTGCTTGTCTTTAGTTCAAATAAACCCAAGTAAATACCTTAATGTTAAGATTTTCATTAGACAACATAAGCAATTAAAATAAGTAACTTATCCTACCAAGACTGAGACTCCTGAACCAGTCTATTTGATACATATAGTTCTTTTGCTGCCTGTCAGAAACATGAAGGACAAAGTCCCTGCAGATGTGTGCTCACCAGATATTAGGGAGCCATGAGCAGTTCACTGTACAATGCCCTTTTCCTTACAGATTTCCTTACAAATGCACCAGCAGGGCATCCTCAAATCAGCAAAATGCAGAAGCCATTTACAGATCAAGCTATGCAGTGTATCTGCCCAGACATGAAATGTCCCAGCACACAAACACAACCAGGACCTAGCAGCAAAGTGGCAGCATAGGTTTCACAGGACATCTGCTGCATGGCTGAAGTCATCCTTGAAAACCCCAAATTTACCTCTATAAAGTAATTTCATAGTAAACTCTGTTCATCACATTGAACTCATTACACATTCAGATCTTTTCAAATTAACCCTTTAATGAAATTTCATGAGAGATTTTGAAATAAATGAATGGCAAATGAATGCCTACATATCATACACCACTGAAAAATTTGCTACTGGAGAAATTGTAGAAGCAACGGATAAGATGACACTGAAGAGGACAAAAAAAAACCCCAAAAAAACTTAAACAACAAATTATGAAGGATTTATAATGAAATGTCAATTTTCCATTCCTCTTGCCTAGCAGACAAACTATGTCAAAATAATTCAATAGAAATAATAAAATGAACTCAAGCTCCTGTTCTCCCATCCTGCAGAGATTTCTAACAAAGACAAAGGGAAGGCACCATCCCCAGAAGTTCTTCCAAGGCAAAAACCAACACAAGCATGGCAAGCTCTTAAATTCCCTATCATAAACAAGAAAAAAAACCTAACCTCAAAATGAATTTTGCTGCTCTCCAGCCCATTTTACACCTCTATGTATACAAAAATACACTTTTATATACAGTTTCAGAAACAAACATGAGTGGCATTTGAATGGAATATGGGTGCTCCAAGCAGTCATCCAAGAAACAGAAAATGTTCTCAGCTTTCCTGCTTGGCTGCCACTACTGGTGAGTCTGATCACCTCAGGCACATGTAACAGACTTTACTTGAACCAGGCTGTGAAAACTTACTGTCATTTTCCAAGAAAGGGTAAACAGACTACAATAAATTACCTTGCAGGAATCACAAAGGAACTGGGAATCGCCCATTGTTTTCCAAGTCCATCCTGTGGCTCACACTTACTGTCACAGTGGTCTGGGGGCATAGAGTTCATCCCTATACCACTACACAGCCCCAAAAAAGAGGACCAGGGCTTCAGGAATTTCCTTCTGGCATACAGCTCAGGTTTTAATGTGATTTACCGTATTAGTCAGTTCTATTGTCAACAAAAAAAACCCTGAACATTATCACAGAAAAAATGCTATATCAATTTTTTCAGTATTTTCCCCCTGTAATCATATTTCCAGCTGCTCAGAAACAGAGAACTGATTCACACTAATAAGTGAGTTCTATGCTCACTATAAAAAGCACCCTGAGATGTTTACTATCTGAGTATTTGCCTTTCTCCCCCACTAAGGGTATTTCTGAACAGCAAAGAGCGGAAGAAAATTCCAAGTGCATCTACTATGACAGAAATGCTGTAAGCGACTAACACACAATTCATCCATACTAGGAGGAGTTTAAATAAATGAATACATCCCTGTTGTTTATAATATCGTAATTCTTCCACGATCACTGCATGTTCTAGGAAAACAACTACTGAAAACAATGAAAGAGAAATACCAAAAGCTACGGCAATCCAACTGCAAATCCTTAGAACATGAGTCATATTTTCACTAATAGCATCAGAAGTCACTTCCATTAGTACTTAACTGATGCTTCCTGACCTTGATCTACTCGATGCAGTACACAGAATTCACATCAAGTGCAAAGCGAGGGGGAAAGGAACAAAAGACTCAAATGTTACTCGAATGCTACTC